CAATAAAATAAACGTTTGAGGTCATAAAACCTTAAGTGTCTAGATAGAACTAGTACCAACAGACAACAGTTATCTTTGATATAGTGGTGTCTGTGAAACAACCACTTCAATATGTTCGGTTCGAAATATAACACAGTTCACGAACAGTTATTTAAGATATGGCATTATTTACCATAATTATGACTTTTTTTTTATCTATATGATAAAAACATATTTATAAAAAGAGTGATACCTTGATGTAACGAGTTGTCTTAAAACTACATCCGGTCAAATTGAAGACTTAAACTCTCGTTTAAAGAGAGAGTGTCACACCCTTCAAGATAAAGAGAATTATTGCAAAAGTTCTTTGAGGGGTTTGTAGAGGGCTTGCTTCAAGGCAAAATGTCTGCTCCTATCCGGCATAGTTAACATTGTTTTGCTGGGCAGTCCAAATGTCCCGCCCTCCATCCCCGTCGTCCTTCACGCAGAACCTATCTATTGTTTTAATTGTTATGCGTTTGGGGTTCTAAATATGCGTAAAATAATTGCCACTGGGCGTTAAGCTAGCAATAATCAATCAACCATTTAAAACTTTTTGATTGAGGATGATAAAAACATATTTATAAAAAGAGTGATACCTTGATGTAACGAGTTGTCTTAAAACTACATCCGGTCAAATTGAAGACTTAAACTCTCGTTTAAAGAGAGAGTGTCACACCCTTCAAGATAAAGAGAATTATTGCAACAGTTCTTTGAGGGGTTTGTAGAGGGCTTGCTTCAAGGCAAAATGTCTGCTCCTATCCGGCATAGTTAACATTGTTTTGCTGGGCAGTCCAAATTTCCCGCCCTCCATCCCCGTCGTCCTTCACGCAGAACCTATCTATTGTTTTAATTGTTATGCGTTTGGGGTTCTAAATATGCGTAAAATAATTGCCACTGGGCGTTAAGCTAGCAATAATCGATCAACCATTTAAAACTTTTTGATTGAGAATGAAAGGTAATATTAGATTTTAATAGTATTTGGGATTCTGATACCCTCGATCTGAGATTTTGCGACATACGCTTTTGTTCTGTTGCATTTGAAATAGTCTAATGTGATGTCGAGATTAAACAGATACGTCTGTAATGTCTAGTTATTATGGTCTGTGTATATTCTGATATGTATGTACTGGATAAAAGCCGGAAATAACAAGAATATTTGTGTTCTGCATTTTTCCATATGATACATGTGTATAATAAAGATAGAATAAGTTCTTAGGTTTTGGATTGTCAAACATTTTTGCATCGAGCATTACAGAAAATACATTAATTTTCGAAATGCGCAGCTAATGCAGGAAAATTATTCCGTTTAATGTTATAACTAGATTAAAAGAAAAAACATACACGAACAACTGCATGTAGACAACTTAACAACATTGTACATCTTATTATATGCATTCATGTGACGTGAAAGAGATGTCTACGAAACAACACATGGCATTATTTATTTACCTTTATCTTCGTACTATCTAGTACGTTGCTTATAATTTCCATGCTCTGATCAAGGAAAAGGTTTTTGGAATCTATTATTAATATTTCAATCTGGTGGACATGATGTGCTGTACATGTAATGCAACTTTTTGTGTTGAAAGATGCAATACGTGTTATCATCGGTCTTCTGAAACACGTCGTATGTGTTCTACTTTATCTCTTGAATTTCCATTCCGTCATATTTAAAGAGCATGTAATTGATCCTAATTTCCCAATGATATCACTTTAATATTGCTCTTAGATATTTTTTTAATTCATCATGATGATGAACAACGTGTCTGATTCGCATAAAAGTAAAACTGAAATGCAATTGTCAACTATAACGTAATGTAACTCCTCGTTTTGCTGTATCACAATTCAGACAAAAAATTCGGTTGCTAGGCATAAGCGAATTTTAACAATAAGCGTTAATCAAAATTATCCCTACCTGACCAATACGAAGGCAACGTCTTTCAATTATAAATGCAACACTTTTCTCTTATTGAAAGAAGGCATAATATTCGGGTTGTAGGAAATGGTGACCAGAACGAAGTGCCTACTAGAAACAAGTGGTTACCACGTAAATGATAATGCTTCAAATGCTGTATCTAGTCTTTACCGAAATTGGTTTTCAATATTGAAAACTGTCATTTATATCAGGAAGTGATGCCGTTGTTTGATTTCAGTTCCTGTTTCGAGAGCGATATACATTTCTATGTGCAAAAGGCAGTTATAACATTGTTAGGCTGAAGCAAAGGATATGTACATGTCTATATAGTGAGATACTTACGAAAAAGAAACGAACTCGTACATTGTATAGATTGACAAATATGTATCGGTATTTTTTCGTATTGAAATTATACATTCTGAAATCTTGTTCGCATCAACTGCACACTGTGCAGGTGTAGTTGTAACAATATCACATAGGCATTGTTTCTAATCCGACTGAAGGAAGGATAAAAGTTTGAGACCGTATTTAATGCTCTTACATTGTTTGGCCAAATTTCAGACATATTCATTTTGTGGCGCTAATAGAAGATATGTTACTTTAAGACGTAAAAAAATAGAACACATTTTATGTATGTCTTCGGCTAATGTCTGCTCTATGGTCGAGTTGTTGTCTCTTTGACACATTCCCCATTTCCATTCTCAATTTTATTTATTGTTTGTGACTAACAACAACATCTGGTCTGCAAGATATTTAATCTACATGCTACCTACATCATACATGTATTATTAGTTACATAGTGTGCTAGTGACCTACTACGCTATATATGGGGTCAGTAAATTCCCTATGGGGTAGGAACGAAGCGAAGCTCGAACCCATATGGAATTTACTGACCCCATATATATCGTATTAGGTCGCTAACACTGTATGACGAATTTCTTTTACCGACTATCATTTAGACTAGTGGCCTATCAAAGTGATCAAGTCTTCAATATTAAGAACCTACTTCCATTGATCTATACAAAAAAAAATGCCAATAATAACAACTTTTAGCTTTTAATGTGTTTTCTGCATTTATTTCAATCGTTCATCATCAATTTCTTCGTCTGTTGAAACCTTTCAGATTTGTCCTCAACACCGTGTTGTTTTTACAGAGGGACGTAACACCACTACTAACCGTGTATTAAATAAACCACGCCTACTAACCCCATATGAAATATACACGGTCTCCACGCGGTTGCTTTTCACCAATCATAGTCCTAGAAATATACAGGAGGTAAGATAAAATGTGTTACAACCCTAGGTGAAGACAACTCAACAACAAAAAATATCGCCTTGTTGGTCGATTGACTGTAATGCTGGGTAACGTGCAGGTGGATATACAAATAAACTCAATATAGGTACCAGGCCTAAATTTTGAGCGTTTCGTCTACAAAGGACTCATCAGTGGCGCTCGAAACAAAAAAGGTAAAAAAGCCAAATAAAGTTCGAAAATTTTTTATGATGTCACTAGTACAGAGACATGAGTTCAAATCCCACTGACAGAATTTAAAACAAAAGTTTGCTTCGCATCGCTATGAAAAACGACACAGTACAAATAAGTATATTTATTATATACTTAGAAGTAAATACATGTGTACAAGAAAATTATATGTGTAGTACAATCAATGACAACGTGCTGTATCGGCCAGCCGTGATGATACCGATATCAGTTGCAAAGGCATTATCAAACTCCGAATTGTATTGCGTCATCATGTCACCCCCAAAAAAAACATCTACGTGAGGTATATAATCAAGTTTATTCCATATTGGTATTATTTAGTTTTTCTATACGAATTATATTTCGATAAATATGTGATTTAATTGACTTTAAAAAAAATGATATTCATTTCGGCCGTCGGCCTCAGTGAATATAAGTTTTGTGTCAAAAGTCGATAAAACCACATATTTACCTCATTAAAAGTCAGTAATATAATATACTGTAACTATATCTTACAAAAGATTATTGGCTTTTTTCAATATCACACACCGTATTTTAATTTTAAAATTCTCATCGAATATTATTCCTCAATCAGAGCTCTTGCGATTATATTGGTGTTTCGGGTTGACACTGATGTTATATTGAATAAAGATATGCTATTCTCTATAAGATATAGTCTAAAAAGTGTAATACAACACAAACAAAAGTTAGTTAAAATTGAAAATTATCGGTAGATTTCTCTGATAAGAGGTATTCTTCATCAGTACAAACTGACTGGTATAAAATGACGTCTTCTTCTTTTATGTCTATCCCTATATAGATATAATATGATGGAAATGCCATATATGCATTATAACATAATATATATTTCGTATGAAGTACATGCAGTAACTATAGATCTGTTTGAATTGTAAGTAACTACGCGTTACACAATTGTTGAAGAAATTTGGCGGCAATATATTATTTCAATCAAAATCGATGTTCGTTTTGTCTGGTTTCATTGGTTCTGTACTTCCCATACAAGATTTACTTTGGCAAAAAGAATTACAAATTATGATAAAGACGTATGACCGGGAGATTTCATTTTAACAAAGGCAAATCACTGAAAACTTGAAATCGATCTTTCTTCGTGACATGTTACAACTATGTCCATTATTTAAAATTCAAATGCTTGTATGAATTCATCTATAAATACTTCCATGTTCTATGCGAATGTAGACATTAAGAATGATGAAGATGGATTTGATATATAGTCTTCATATAGCAGATTTTTAGAACTTTTGGGAAAGTATATATAATACAGCTTCATTATAATAATCTTTATAATTATTAGAAAAAAAAAATCGGCAAATATGGGAATATTTATGTATGTCCTATTTGATGTTATTTTCAATTGATGTTTATTCACCCTTGCTAAATATATCATAAAAAGCCAATTAAGGATTCCCAGTGTCAACATTTCATAGATATACTCCAATGGAATTGTTATTGATTGAGGCTTTTATCTTTATTCCGATATGATAGGTACTTGTCTATGGATTAATCAATTGTAAACCTCAGGACTCACTTAACAGGTCTTTTTATTACTTTTTCAGACTTACTCATAACTTTAAACAAGTTACACCAACTCGCTGTATGAAGTTCATTATAGAAAGCTTCATTTAATATTCTTCGCATCTTCATAAAGGATTTGGAGTCAGGACGTGTTTCCAGACAAACTTTGGAGTACTGACAATAACGCAATTAGATTAGATTGTCTGTTGACCATTTAATGGATTGTCTCTATTTGTTAAACAAACAACCATATTGATGTTATTTTAGATTCTGGAAGAATTTGAAATATATTCGCCCGCAGTAAATGTCAGATTTTTTTCTACAGGAAAGGTAAATCAAAAACAGAATAAAGTAGAAAGTGATATATTTGATGATTTTTCTGCTCTAGGAGGAGAAGAAGCGATTTATGTGCTTATTAATATTGTAAACGCCAACATAAAAGTGAAAAGTAGACAAAGAAGAAAATTAAGTCTGGAGTTTCGATTGCCTATCAAGTATTGGTAGTAATTTTGTCAAAATAATCAGAGCGTTTGTATTGCTGTCAAGTTTGAAAAAGCTCAAGAAAAATGCTATAAACAGTAACAGTAGAGGCTTTAACAGTGTTGAAAAAAATGGTCTGTTTATTCTATAAGATTGTAAATATATATAACAACCGTTTTCAATAGTTATAAATGTGTTTCTAATTATTTACATAAGAAAAGATCTAATTAGCACAGATGATATGTGAAGGTATTACTTTTTGTGACATAAGAATGCGTCCATTCAGAGCAGTGCTGAAGTAAGGTCACGTCTCATGATATACAAATAGTATTTTACTGGTGTTGTGAATTTTTCATTTCTTCTGGAATTTATGTGAAATGAAAATTACATTGTGCCTGAAGATTAATATTAAAAAGATCTCTCAGCAATCCTGGAAAGCATGAAGTTTAGATTTAATGACGTTGGACTTTGGATAATTTGGAGGTCGTTCCATGATGCCTTATTGATTCATCTTTTATTTTGCTGTGGTAAGTAATTTATATATTATCCACTTCACATAGTCTGGTAATTATCTTCACACATCACAGAGATTAACCACACATAAGAGTAATTATGGCATTAAAATTAAACTTGTTTTTCTTTGACAGATGAATTGTAAACCTGATTAAGCATCACTTTTATTGACTGTGTTCGGTATTTTTATGCGAATACTACAGGATATAAAAATGTTAGCATCATTTACTATTGCGCTACTTCATACATTAACACGAACATTTCTAAGCTATTTCACCATTTAGTACTATTATGGCATGTTTTTCTTTAATATACCAATAAACATACATAAAATAAATAACTAAATAACTAAACATGTTGTAGTTTCTGGTCTAATGTTGTGAAAGTAAAGTGAGTAATATGTGTGAAATATCTTGATCTAAATTTATTGTCGCATTTCGCTTTTCATTCATTCATAATATGTGGTGTTCCCGTGAATGGTACAGTAAACAAACAATTCAAGTTCACAAGAAGTAGCCATTTTCATTTTAGCATATACATTCGTTTAAAGCGCACCTCCACATGCGGTAGAACAAGCTCTTAATCATACTCAAGACAAGTTTTCAATGAATTCAACATTGACAGGGAATATAATGTAAATTAACAAAACTTAGGTAGACAAAGATACCCACATATTTGATACCTGACTTCACATTTTAAACAAAACAAAGTTGAAAACACAATAAAATTCACATAAAACAAACCTTAATACAATATATCAGTATTTCAGACATCCAAAACATAGCTATACATTAAACATTAAACAGCACTATATAGCACCGTAAACAATTTTTTCTCAGATATTTAGTGCAAATTAAAGTAAAAATACCGTTTTTCTGTCTACAAGAAATCATTTTTTGGATTGACATCACCATGAAGTCTCAAAGCTATAGTTTGGTCAGTAAAATAGATATAGTACATGGGAATCTGTCATATAACTTCACGTTTTTGTTTTCGGGATTGATCGATAGATTTCAGAAATAACAGTAACTGTTGCGCCAAACATATTTCATTTATGTATTTTGAGAAAGAATACCTTTACAAAACCTTTCAAACTCTTTCAAAACCAGGCCTAGGTTTAACCAACAATTTTTTTCGGAAAATGCCTGTACCAAGTTAAGAATATGACTCTTTTTTTTACTCGTTCCGTTGGTTGAATACGCTTGATTTTGTCAGTTTTTAATTACTTCCCTTTTCTGAATCTACCTTGGAGTTTTTTTTTGTTATACTTATATATATATATAGTTAAAACAGACTTTTTCACTATTTTTTGGTCTTTTGGAAATTGTTATTTGTGCTGTATTTAGACCCCTCTACCAAGAAATGTGTTTTACATGCACACGTATAAACATTGCGATTTTTATCCAACGCAATCATAGGTTTGAACGTTGTTTTCAATTAAGACTTTTATATATTTTTTCGTTTGGGCTTGTATTGTATTTTCCTTTGGGTTTATATGATCCGTTCATCCTATTTCGACTCTTTAAAATTCAAGAGTCTATCCTAAATTGAGGTAAATTATATGGCCTTCCAAATACCGTTTCAATTCCTAACATCACTGAAGAGACATTAATTGTCGAAATCCGGATATGGTGTACAAATTTTTGCACCTCATGTTTTTGGTATACCATCTTTTCAACAAGTTTATTGTTTTCTGTTTGGTATTAAATTAATATTAAAATCCATTTCGTTAGATCTGGTGATCAATTTATTTGCAATCACCAATGGCAGTCAGCAGGGATTAAGAACATCAGTTGTTCGACCTGTTAGTCAAATGCGTTTTGTTAAAATAGACTTTTTCACTTTTTTTGGTCTTTTGGAAATTGTTATTTGTGTTGTATTTAGACCCCTCCACCAAGAGTTTTGTTTTACATGCACACGTATAAGAATTGCGGTTTTTATCCAACGCAATCATAGGTTTGAACGTTGTTTTCAATTTAGACTTTTATATATTTTTTCGTTTGGGCTTGTATTATATTTTCCTTTGGGTTTATATGATCCGTTCATCCTATTTTGACTCTTTAAAATTCAAGAGTCTATCCTAAATTGAGGTAAATTATATGGACTTCCAAATACCGATTCTTAACATCACTGAAGAGACATTATATGTCTAAAACTCAAAGTTAAGCAAGAACAGATTGATGAAATGGATCTTAATATTAATTTAATACCAAACAGAAAACAATAAACTTGTGGAAAAGATGGTATACCACAAACATGAGGTGCAAAAATTTGTACACCATATCCGGATTTCGACAATTAATGTCTCTTCAGTGATGTTAGGAATCGAAACGGTTATTGGAAGGCCACATAATTTACCTCAATTTAGGATAGACTCTTGAATTTTGAGGAGTCAAAATAGGATGAACGGATCATATAAATCTGAAGGCAAATATAATACAGGCCCAAACGAAAAAATATAAACAAGTCTAATTGAAAACAACGTTCAAACCTATATGATTGCGTTGGATAAAAACCGCATTTTTTATACGTGTGCATGCAAATCAAATTACTTGTTAGAGGGGTCTAAATACAGCACAAACAACATTTTCCAAAAGACCAAAAAATTGAAAAAGTTTATTTTAACAAAACGCGTTTGACTAACAGGTCGAATAACAAATGTTCTTTAATCCTGCTCACTGCCATTGGCGATTGCCAAATAAACGGATTACAAGGTGTAATAAATGGATCTTAATTATAAATTTAATACCAAACAGAAAACAATAAACTTGCGGCAAAAATGGTAATCCGCAAACAAAGGTGCAAAGATTATATATATATATATATATCATCCGAAACACATTATGAGTCAAAACTTTTATGAAAAATGATTTGGCGATTAAGTTGTATTTGGCGATTAAGTTGTATTCGGCGATTAAGTTGTATTCGGCGATTAAGTTGTATTTGACGATTAAGTTATATTTGACGATTAAGTTGTATTCGTCGATTAAGTTGTATTTGGCGATTAAGTTGTATTCGGCGATTAAGTTGTATTTGGCGATTAAGTCGATTTGGCGATTAAGTTTTATTCGGTGACAAAATATTGAATGACAAAATGAGAACGGGATAGGGTTAATGCTAAAAATGAAATTCCTGTGGTCATCTATGGCATTGGTATCCCGTAACGTTCACCAAAGTCATCATGGCGTCCGTAAAAGTTTTGAAGCGACAACTTACGCTTTACCATTACCAATGGTTAAGTAGGTTTCTGGTAAGCGGAAGTTGTTTATCAAGGATTACACAAGCTCCTTGATTATCGTATCAATATTGAGAGATATATACCCCATATGCAGCTGTTGCTCAAATGTTGCAATTTAAAATGGAAAGTTCATAATAGGAAGTTGAGGTAATCTCTTTTGTCGTACGATTGTGTTCTCTATCAACCTCCAATCTATATCGATTTCTATGTGCAAGTAAACGTACGAAATAGATCAACTTATCAACTTTAAGTGAAAATATTCGATTAAATAAGAATAATTTTGGTTATTTGGAAGGCAATCCTATCAAAATAGGGACGTTAAATCCGATGCCCTGTGTAAAGTGAGTGCTACGCTTTCTATACGTGAAAATGTCTTGCAAAACCTCTATGAGGGGTCCGTAGGTGACCGTTTCGAAGTCAAATTTCTGTCCCTATCTAATATACCCTTATTTTCCAGTTGCAGTCTTAATTTCCCGACCTTCATTCCGATCGACCTACCTTGCAGAATCTATCCTTTGTATTTATTGTTAATTTTTTTGTCTCGTCCTGAATATGCATGAAATATTTGCCAATAGACGTTACGCATTAAGCAATCAATTAATCAATCATTGTGAGATGACTAATTTGACCGACTCCTGTATAGGTATTTGCCATAGATAACCACTACTAACCTATATGATTTTGTACTTCTGCTCTCTCTCTAAAATGTAGTTCAACCTAGACAGTATCGGATGCGTTTCTTTTCAAATAATAAAGTTAATCTCACATTCACATTGTGTTTTCATTTGAATGTATTTTAAATTTTAATATGACATATATCAAGTCAAACAAACCTTAAAATTATACGATTTAGCAAGAAAAAAAAACACTTCTATATAAATTGTTGTTCTTGGGTTGAAATGGACAAAGCCAAAACACCACTTAAGCAGTAATGTTTCTTGGAAAATAGGATTGAAATCTTACTGTTGATTACCTTAAGAGCAATAAATGCTATAAACACTTACTACGGTAATTCTGATCAATGACTAGCCTTTTATTCACTTTGATACGTCATCCATTACGATTAGGTACTAGGAGGCTGTTCTCGACATGATGCTTCCTTTTAAAATAAATTCATTTACTACCAGTACCATCAATTTTCCACAGGCTGAGTAGCTAGAAAACTTGATTAACAATATTATGATTGATGAAAAATAAAGTGTTACGAATGTCAATATGGTGCAATAGAAAAAGATTGGATCATGTCTTTTCTTGATATCGAGTCTTAATTCGATTTGTACATGTACAAATATTGGTTAATGGACTCCAATTTTAACACAATTTAAGTTTATCTATAATACAGATCGATCAATTGCACCATTTTTCAATAACTATTTTAAAAAGTTTCGAACTCGTTCAACATGCATTTCAAAATGATACATTGTATATACGCTAGAATATATGAAGAAATCGGATATTTAGGCACATAAATTTGGGTCATCAAGTTTATTTTCAATATTCGTATTACCAAATGATAATTTAAGTAGTATTGCGAAATTTTGAAGCACGATGTAATGTTTTCGTCAAAATATATAAAAAAAAATAGTGCGTTTATTTATTGGTTCATTGTTGTTGAACTTTGTTCATACCATTGAAATGTCAAATAGGTGGGCGTATTTTATAAACAATTTTTCAAAAAGTCAATTGCGTGCTATAGGCCTACATTCAGCTATTTCAATAACAAAATAGCAACTACGAACACATATTTTAAATACATATCAGTATACGGGGCAAACA